AGTTTTTATCGCTGTTGCTGTGGATACGGCAGGTAATTACAATTATTTGTAGAGATATGCATGTTAGTGGGTTTGTATTCAAGTAATTATTAAATTTACCACCATTTTGTAGTAGGTAAAGGTATTGACTTATATTCTAGGGTTATAAAGTACTCGTCAGGAGCTTCAAAATGATGTGCCACAAGACCCCCGCTTTCATACAATTTTTTTCCAAGATAGCGCCCAGCGGCCATCTTGACATTTTCGTCTGTCAATTTAACTCTAAAATATGGTACCCACGCATCAATTTCATTCCCTCAAGTTTTAATTTTTTGAATTGATCCGTTCAAAAAATCAAAGGGAGGGGGACATTAAAGAAAAGCACTGTAAAATATTTAACATTCCTTCTATTTTTCATTGTTTTGCCGAACATTACTGCTACTAAGTATTTGGTATTTGAGTGAGCGTGTTTTGGATTCGTCTATTAGCACCCCAGATTTGCAAATAAATAATGAAAACATAAATATAAAATATTACCATAACGGATAAATAGATTATTACTGTAATAATAATACAATAATATAAGTTTATTCACGTATAAACTACTACAATTTATCCAAAATAAATATATAATATACGCAAATAAACTAAAATTATGAAAAAAATGGGGAAGGTAGGCAAAAGGCAGATTTTAAACATACCAAAAGATGACCCTATTAAAAGTTTCACTGTTTTAGAGATGTTAATTTTGTTTGTCTTTTTCGATCTCGTTTGATCTATCTTTTGTTGCTGAATTTATCGCAGTACTTTGCAGTAGTAGTCTAGTATATTTTTATTTCATTGCTGAATACCAAAGTTGGGTGAAATAGTTTTCTAGAACAAAAATTACGAAGAAGAAATTAGTTTGGCAAGTTCTGAGGGTATTTTGCAAAAAAAAAAACAGATATCCTGTTATTTCTAGGCGTGGCGACAAAAGATAGATTAAAAAAAGAGAGACAAAAAAATTAATATCTCAAAACAGTGAAACTTTTACTAGCCTCAATTTTTGGTATGTTGTAGATCTGCCCTCCGCCTATCGTCCCTATTTTTTTTGTCGTACTATTTACCGGACACACCCTGTATATTACGAAAGTAAGTTAAGATTAAAAGGAAGGTTTTGATATTTTAAAAATTCTGACACCAATAACAGATATTAGGAATTGTTTGCCATTCAGAAATTATTAAAAAGCTGAAAAAAATGCTTGAAGACTATTTGAAACTTTTTGCTTATAACTTCACCGCTACAGCACCAATTTTCATTGTCTGCTATATCATACACGATATCATATCGCTTTCTAAATTTCATCAAAATCAGTGGTTGCCATGACAACATGGATACAACAGAGTAATTGATGGACAAACGGGCAGAAAGATTAATTATCATACAATATGCATAAAACTGGAATTTGAGTAATTACAAATGGAACAAATCTACATTTTCATTATGAAAGTGTAGTGGACTGATCGATCATTCCAATATACTGTCTCCATTGATGATGAAAAATTTACAATATGTTTTACCGGCTTTTGAAACTATTATTCGTGAAATTTTGCTTATAAAGTTATATAGAGTAGTATGGCATGTTCGGTACAGTTTTTGAATGGTTTAAAAATCATCTGTGTAATCGTTTTCATAGAAGTGCAATTAGTACAGTATCTACAGAGGTACCAAATCATATGACAGTTCCCCCAAGGTAGTATATTGAGTCCATTACTATTTATAATTTATCTGAATGGTATATACGTAGTCATGCCATAAGTTCTGTCCCTCGTTTTCAAACAAGTGTAGACCTGTTAATACTTGTCCGATTGTTTACATTGTGGTGTCAGTTGATTAAGCGCTTTTCGGGTAATTACATATACCTCAGTTTGTATTGATCTCTCGAAGCATAACGATGGAGTGGGGCAAGGCAGAGAACCGTATTGCAGTGATAGCTTTACATAAGTGTAATCACAGTGCTAGTCAGATTTTTGAACTCTTACGCGGCCTTCAAATATCGCGTAAATTTGTGTCTAGGACCATTCAGCGGTACAATGAGACGTCCTCTGTTGATGACAGGCCAAGAAGCGGAAGACCTCGTCAAGTAAGGACTCCAGCAGCCATCAAAGCCGTAAAAGCCAGGATTCAAAGGAATCCACTCCGGAAGCAGAAGATCCTATCCAGGGAAATGAAGATTCCTGTCCGGACGATGTCGCGCATCATTAAACAAGACCTAGGGCTAGGGGCTTACCGGAGACGTACGGGCCAGCGACTTACGGCCACCTTGCGACACATCAGGGCGACAAGATCCAAAAAGCTCTTGGAGAGGTACGCAGCTGGGGGATTCCGAAAGATTTTGTTCACGGATGAGAAAATCTTCACCATAGAAGAAAAATTCAACCGACAAAATGACAAAGTGTATGCAAGGAGTTCACAGGAAGCTTCGGAGATCATTCCGAGAGTTGAGAGAGGCCACCACCCTGCGTCAGTCATGGTTTGGTGGGGGGTGTCCTACGAAGGGGTCACTCAGCTCCATTTCTGTAAACAGGGCGTGAAAACAAAAGCGGCAAACTATCAGAGCGACATACTGGATCCTATCGTCAAGCCTTTAAGTGGTACATTGTTTGCCAACCAACACTGGGTCTACCAGCAGGATTCCGCCCCCGCTCACAAGGCTAAGAGTACGCAGCGCTGGCTGGAAAGCAATGTGCCAGAGTTCATTGCTGCGGAAGATTGGCCCTCAGGGAGTCCGGACCTCAATCCTTTAGACTACAAGTTGTGGGACCTGCTAGAGCAGTTGGCCTGCTCCGAAGCCCACCGTAATATCGAGTCCCTGAAAGCGGATTTGATCCGATCAGCGGCAGCTATTCCTTTGGAAGCTGTGCGTGCAGTGATAGATGAGTGGCCCGCGAGATTGAAGCAGTGTGTGAAGGCCAAGGGGGGACATTTTGAATAAAACTGTTTGATTATGAATTCTAAAAATGTTGTCGAATAAATAATATCTTTCATATAAATATATCTTATCTTGTTTCATTTTTATCATGAGATTATCATGGGACAGAACTTATGGCACGACTACGTATTGCACTCCAGGATCACAGAAGTCTTTTTGCTGATGATACCGTGGTTTTGGTTCTGACGAGCTCCCACAATAATGCAGTTAAAAAAATCATTCATTACTAAGCAATCAAAAGCACTTAAACATTACTAAATTAAAATTTAACACTGTTTATTGCATCAAAATATAAGTTAGTAAATTTTGACAGTAACTCAATACATATTTGGATCGGAAATGATGGCATAGAAAGTCTTTTGGAATTTAAATATTTTGGACATTTAAAAACAAATAATGGGTGATTTTTTAAGAGGTATAGGATTTGATTTTTTAAAAAAAAAACACAAAAAATTTGAAAAAACGATTAAATCTTTATTTGAGTCGGTAGAACGGTCGATATAATTTAATGTTGAAAGATTATTTCATGTAAATGTTGGCCGCGGCTCCTCCGCTTTAGATGGCCCATGCGCAAGGTCCAATTTTGGCACACTCTCTCCGACATATCGGCCGGTATCTCACGAATAAATGCTTCAATATTAGCTTCCAGTGTGTCAATCGTTGTTGGTTTATCCCTGTAGACATTAGCCTCAACATGGCCCCACAAGAAATAGTCCAACGGCGTTAAATCACACGATCTAGGCGGCCAATTGACGGGCCCCAAACGTGAGACAAACTGTTCACCGAACTCGCGTCTCAATAGGGCCATTGTTTCGTGTGCGGTGTGGCATGTGGTACCGTCTTGTTGAAACCACATGTCAGCCAAGTCCAGATATTCCATTTTGGGCAAAAAAAAGTTTGTTATCATCGCACGGTAGCGCTCGCCATTCACAGTTACGTTCCGGCCATTCTCGTCTTTGATGAAGTACGGCCCGATGATGCCACCGGCCCATAATCCACACCAAACAGTGATTTTTCCGGGATGCATTGGTAGCTCTTGCAATGCTTCTGGCTGGTCTTCACTCCAGATGCGGCAATTTTGCTTGTTAACGTACCCATTCAACCAGAAATGAGCTTCGTCGCTGAACACAATTTTTCGATAAAGATGTGGATCTTCCTCCACCTTTGCCAGCGCCCATTCACCAAATGGGAAACGTTGTGGGAGGTCGTGTGGCTTTAATTCTTGCACCAGCTGTATCTTATAAGGTTTTACACCCAAATCCTGTCGCACAATTTTCCACGTAGTGGAGTAACAGAGGCCCAATTGCTGCGAACGGCGGCGAATCGACATTTCACGGTCATCACTAACACTGGCGGATACAGCCCTCACTCTATGTCAGCGTGTTGGTGGTTTAATGTCCAATAATGTGAACTGGGTTCGAAATGTAGTCACAAGCTTCCGAATAGGTCCCTCAGTAGGCCGACCAAATTGCCCATAAATTGGAAGCAGTGCTCAATGCACTCTCTTAACCGAGCATGAATTTTGATAGTAAAATTCAATAATTTGCAAGCGTTGTTCGTTCGTAAGTCGATTCATGGTTAAATTATAGACCAAACTGAATAAGTTTGACAATGACACGATTCACGCGTCATCTGTCAAAAACGGTGTTGACAAAAAGATACTAGCAAAAAATCACCCATTATTATTTGTTTCTCGTGTATCAAAGTTCCTGAGTTTCTATGCTAATAAAAAACGTATTCTCTATTCTGACTTGAATCTGACATATTCGTGCAGTACCACAATGCCATTTGCAAAGTATCCGAATTCTATCCCCAATCAGTGCATCCGCGACATAAAAATTCATCATAACGTGTAATATATGGGGTACTTTGGGCCTTATACATGGAATTTTATTATTTTTGGATACACTCACTACTGTAACAATATCATTTTTTCTAAATCCGCATTCACCAGTCTTACCCAGCCAAAGTATAATACGCTCAAGAAATTTGGCAAATTCACAATCTCATTCTAATTGCTCTTTCTTTTTGTTTCATATGCTGCATCAGCACCTGGTGAGGTGCATCATCAATTGATCCGCCACGATGACGATGTGGCAGAGCGGTATGGGGGGGCACGGGGGGAAGAACAACGCCTGGATGAAGTTGATGGGCATCGTCCACAAAGAGAGGAGGTTTCACGACTCCGGGCCTGTTTCCACCGATCGAACATTAAGTCAGTAAGTAAGTCGGTGATTTAGAGGGGTCACGACATTTTCAACATTCCTTTAATGTCATATGGATACGAGGTTATAGTGTCCACTCCATGAAACGATGAACTGGTTTTTGAATTGTGATTTACTTTATTCTACAACACTGTTCTGCAGTTCATGTAGAGCGAAAATAATAAAGCGCGTCACAGAAATGGTAGTACTTGCCTTTATAGCACAAAAATTGTTCCTTTAAAAAAGGCCCTGCGGAAATCCCTCAGGAATATACACTGGAGAGCGTCTTGAATAACATCTAGATGATACTCTGTAATTCTACGAAGTCTTGACAGCATAGTAAGCAGTATTGGTCTTGTACAGTACAGTTCTACCATTCTTAAAATAAGCAGGTCTGATACCAAGTTCCTAATCAGGCTATACATTTTTAGATCGCTTAATCAAGTTTGAGACATTTATAGACTTTATTGGTATCGGTGGCAGAGTGAATCGGTAGGAGCGGTATTGAGTTTTTCTGGATCAGCAGGATTCCGTTAGGGATACACAATTCCTGGTCATCTAAAGGTGTCGTTCATGAGTCTTTAACTTGGTAGAGAAACCCGGTAGGACTTTGCTATAAGGGCTTGTCATATTATTATACTACCGTTTTGCGATCTATATGCGCCAGTGATTGACTATGTATTTGGGGATGATAAAAAGTTAGACAAAAAGGACATAATAGCAGCTTTTTCGGTAGCTTCACAAGAAAGTATTGTAGCCAGACTATAGTAATAAATTTATTGAGTCAACCGAATTAAGCAAGTAGTTCAGTTGTTACGAATTTATATTTAAATATGTTTTTCAAGCTCTCTGATTAATGATAATTGATTCATGAGTCTACCGACATCGAGTACTAATCGCTGTCATATACCATAATCCATGTAACAAGGTTGCAAAGCATGTTACCATAGTGAAACATGTTACCATAGGTGTGAAATTTATTCATTAATGAGATATACTCGTAGTTGTCCGGCAACATCTCTTGAACTTTCGAGTATACTATAGTAACTATATAACTGCTGTTCCAGTTCTCTTTCTATGAACTGTGTCATCAAAAGCTCCAATATAGATCCTAATTATTGTTATTGGAAGGAAACAAACAATTTTGTAATGCATTTATTTGATCAAATAACGGAAATAAAGTCTAAGCAATAGTCGGCATTATTAGCAATATAGAAATACGTATACTCTTTTTGCAGTGTTCTTCATAACTTTGGAGTCATAATCAACTTTGTTTTTAGTTCCGGATACTAGGAAGAGCAAAATATAAGGGTACCCAACATCTACAGATACCAAGTGCTACGATCATGATAAGACAGACACATGACGCAACGGAACGTTTTTGTATTGTCACTAACAACTATCCTTTGAACTCAAAAATTAGCTGACGAACTGCAAAGAATAAAACTGGATTAGATTCATCATTCCAGCAAAACCGTCTGTTTTTTAAAAACGCCAATGGTATTCTATACCGGACATAGTGTCGGGACAACCTATATAAATTCTATGTTATTTTAAAAATAGGAATAGAAATGCAATGTATAAATACGATCTCTTTTAACTTTAGCATATTTCCCCAATCGATAGCTCGGTGTACAATTCTATTATCAATTATTCTAAATGGCATTCAATGCATCGAGTGCAAACGGAGAGACAGTAGACCGGGTAACAGCTAGTGCACGATAAAAAGCTTGACAGTCACAGGTTGGTTGGTACGTTGGCAGGCTGCGCTGTTGCCGGCTTGATATAGACGACGGAGATTTTGTTACTTGCCGGGACAATTGATTGATTGATGATAATGAGTTCGCGGATAAAGATATGTCTATAATCTTCCTTGGGTATCAATTAGTAAGTGTACAGATGCTTACATATCTGTATATTGTAGTTAAGACGTGATGCTGACTGACTAGACAGACATTCATATTTACATATAGAAAAGATACGTAGGTTCAAAACATAGACTTTCAGTCGTTTCATACAAAAATATGGCTAGTATTATTTCTTAGTCGGACTCAGCAAGCTTGTCAAAAGAAGACGCAATGATAATTTTTTTCTACTAACCTGGAAATCAAATTATCTCCTTAGGTAATTCATGGTAATGAAATAAAGGGTAAATAATAAGTCTGTAAACTCGGGGAGTGATTTGTAGGATTGCTGGGCATATAACTGTCATTGCCATAAAGTCCTCTAACCATTTCTCAAAATTAAGAATAAATTTTTCTTATTACGAGTAAAAAGTCTATTTTACAACTGAAATTTTTATTGTTATTCGTATTTATTTATTCCATTTTTGCGAGAGCCTAAAAGTTCAATCCTATTTGATAAATTGGAGTATTTGAAAATGGATGGGAAACTAATGAGATGTAGATGTATGAACATCTATTTTTATCGGATATTATAATGTAGGCGCTGTTATGGATACAGACATTGCGGCGGCTTTATCTGATAGTATTACCGGACGTTAAGAAAATGATCAGATATGCTATATTTTTAAGTTGAATCAAATTAAATGAGGGAATAAAAATAACAAAAAGTCCTGTACATACCTAGGTGGAGAAGGATATTATTGTCCTCACAGCTTATATCATGGGGCGCCTAGCATACCTCTAATAACAAAAAGTAGTAGTAGAAAAATCTTGCACTAACATCTAGATGTACTTATTATCTTATTTGAGTGCCCAAATCTCATGCCTCTCAAGCTGGCATGTGTTAAGATGCGATGAATATTCCTAGACTATAACGAATTTTCCTGCAGCTTAGATTCAACCCCCAAACTGATGACCTGCCCACATAATACTACTTTTCCAGCTATAAAAAACCATTGCATTTCTAATATGCAAATCCATGCTAATTATACCTTTTTTTAAATCGTTATTTCCACCGCTAGCCTTCCTTGGGATTATGAATGTCCCTTAGTCTAGAAAAAGCTGATTGACAGTGGAGCTTTCGAAATGACCGAACGTGTGTAAGGTATTATGCGAGGTTGAATGGAAAAGCTCCCTGAGTCACTCTCGTTACGTGTATATACGCCGCACATACATCAAAGCTTTGAATAATTTAGAGCGGGATCAATTTATTCTTGAGTGGATGTGAATGCATACGGCACGGCCTTCTGTTGTTAATACAAAATCACGCGAATTGCGACGGATTTAAAAAAACGGGGTTCTTTCTTTCCTGGGATTTCCGTTTTTAGAAAATGTACATACATAAGTCGACGTTATGCGGGAAACGGGTGGTGGCGTAGGAAAAATAACAGAGTGCAATGTGTGCAGTGCATTAAAAGCGGAAAATAATGCAAGGTTGACAAAAAAAGAAGGACATGACGCATATCACGTGATCCTAGAATCCCTCGGCACATGTACTCAACGTGGCAGAACACCTCAGTATATCTTTTACTCTTTACGATCAACTTTACCTTTTTACTCATTTAATATTATATAGGGTGTTAGTTATGCATTTACCATTAACTCAACAGACGATTCTCTGAAAAATTTTAAGACACAAAGCTTATAAAAACATACGTCCGCAAATTCTTCGTTCTCAAGATACAGGGTGTTAAAATTTAAAAAACAATGGTTGTTCGTAAATTTCTTAAATATCCTTTACCTAATTTTGTTGTAATTTGGTAAGGACCTAATTTATTAGTAGCTTGGTTAAATTTACTAAGGCCAGTGGCGTCTCGAGCAGGATCTGAACGAATATTTGTGACAAAAAAATGTACTGACTTTTGTTCAATTTGTATTATGTTCTTTGGATTGAGCGAATGGAAATACTACTTTCTTGTTTCTTGAATTTTTTGTTGTATTTTGCTCAGTTTTCGGGAAACAAGTCCACTTAATTGCATATCCCTGGACCACGCAAGGAATATGGGGAAAAGTTTCTAGTAGAATTTTCTTTTTATAAATTTATATATATATATATATATATAACTATAAAACTAGGAAAATAATGGGCAAAATTCGCAGAAAGAAGGAAAGATATATATATATATATATAAAATTTATTAATAATTATGTAATAAGAACAACAAATACTAAATAGCATTAACATCTAGACTAACAGATTTCACTAAATTAAGTGTTGGAAATGCCCCTTTTCGGCTTCAATACAACCAAAAAAAATAATAAATTCTAGAAGAAACATTTCCCTATACTCCTTGTATGGTTCAGGGATATGCAATTAAGTGGACCTTTTTTTATTGAAAACTAAGCAAGATACGAAAAAAATTTAAGAAACAACAAAGTTGTATTTACATTTGCTCAATCCAAGGAAAATGGTAAAAATTGCACACAAGTCAGTGGCGTACATTTTTTTGTAGGAAATATTCGCTCAGATCCCGCTCGAGATGCCAATGGATTTAATAAATTTAGGCTAAATTAGCACCCTAATGTTATAAATACCAAATTAGAATAAAATAAGGTAAATAATTTGCTAACCTATGTTTATACGTATGAACTTTTTAATTTAAAATTACTCACATAATGGTCTACTTAGTGTATGGTACATACTTAACACCCTGTATATGTGTTAAATTGGTACTAGTCAACGAACTCGAATAGATTAGAAGAAGCCAAGTCTACGTGTTTACAATCCATACTTCAGAACCATTTGACTACAAGCGATTTAAACAAAAAATGCTTTTTCTTCGGGCGATGGACAATGTATTTATCTAAAAGGATCATCTACCTGGCAATATCGCATTTATCTTTCTGACCAAATAAGAACAAGACTAGCCTCATCTACCTCCTTTTACTATAATTACTCTTATTTTACTCTTTGGATATTCTCAAATATCTTACCAGTTCGGGACTTTTGGGTCACCCTGTATGAACATATGAAGCAAGAACTCCGAAAACCATTCTCTATGAACTGTCTCCGTCTCGGATTTGACTCCTCCATTTCGATGTAACGTACTAGAATTCATTGTGCTTTCCACTACTGCCTTTATTTCCCAGTGTAATTGCAGGGCCTTGAAGCAAATTTATTGTTGGGATCTATTTCTCCGGAGGACGAGCAGCAGTTCCATCACTCACAACATTTTTCGGGCTTGAGGCTGGCAACAGGGAACTTAGCTCTAATTCAACCACAGTGGCGTAGATTCATTCTTCAGTATCCACCAACGAAATTAAAGATAATCATTCTTTGATAACAACTACAGAGATGGAAAACATGGGCGCTGGTGGCATTTGAACCCGCATCTCTCTATCTGTCTCTATTCCGTGACAGGTCACCGAACCAATTGATCCACAGCGCTAGCTGTCAACCAACTTCGACGATCGACTGTTAGAGGCAAATTTAACCCTACACGAATATGCACATCACATCGGTGGATATGTCGGTTTGTCTGTCCGCTAAAGTTTGGCCCGTCTATAGCTTGGAAAGTAACTAAGACAAAACAGCTTTGTAGTTTTGAAAATAAGTCGTAGCGGTTGCGTGAAGAGTAAAAAAAACAGAAAAATAAAATAAAATTGTTTAAACTTCGTTCTTTGATGTTTCAGAGGATCCTGATCATTTTCAGTAAGATTTTTTTAGGGATTATTAATCGTAGGTTGGGGGCTGTAGGGGGTGGGGAGCGTATATCTTATTTTTTGCTAGCAGCATATTTAAATGCTTCCAGCCCCTTCAATTTGACGCATCTGTTGATACATATTTCACACGTCATAATATTCCTCATTCATTTGCTCTTCAAATTTAGGGAAATATTTATAGATGCGACTCGCGTCCGGTCAGGAAGTAGGCTATCTTCATCCGCCAGACACTGTGTTTATCTTATTGCATGCCGGAGTTCTCACTCTCGAGTTACAGTGGTGACTGGCGGTTATACGAGTAGCAGGGTTGACAGGTGTGGTTCAGCACCGTTGCCAGATGGTCGATTCTTAGGGCAGGGAAGAAACTAGTGTTACCAATGGGTAGAGACTATGGAGTACGGACTAATTGTACGAGCCCGTTTGGCCGACGATCCAGTATATTTTTTCTGTTTAACATGTGTAGCAAGCTCGGAGAGACGACTAACTTGTGCCTAGCGTGAATGTTTTTGCGTGGGAAGCCTGACGCCATTATTTTCCTAGCTATTAAGTTCTGTTTCAAAAATGTACTTGCTATTGCGGATGCCCTGATTCCAAAAAATTTATCTAGGGTTGACTATCTCGCGCCACACGTACTGCAGAGATTTACCAGTGTCACACAAACCCACTGGAACTGAGAGTATGCTTCCCCAAGAACTGTGTCAGATAGAGTTTCTAGAGACAAATGAAGAAGTGTGTCAAGCACAACCTTTTTTCCCTTACAGAATGATATCCTTACAAAAATATTGGCTACCCTTTATTTAGATGCTACTATAAGTTTCAAAAGTGCAGTCTAGTAGATTGACTTGACATCCACGATCACGAATATTAATAAATATTTGAAATAAATTGTTCCATAACTATCTCAGATGATAATGAAAACGTTGTGTAATATTCAAAAAACAAGAAATGGAATATTATTAAAAATACTTTCTGCTGCATAACATATTTCTTTTTTTTGTATATTCATTCATTTCATTTTGTCGAGCGGTAATATTTACATGTTAGTTTTAGGTTATAGTGTGATATCGTTATTCAAACTATCAAATTATAAATGGAAATATTTAAATCTTAGGTGTGTCAAGTACTATTTCACACATAACTAATTGTGATGAAGAATTTAACGTGTCCAAAGTATATCTACAAAAGCCTGCAAACACATTCCTGAAAGTTTGGATTTCTTTTTTCCGAAACAACTAAGTTTGAAATCACAGCGCTAACGCGCGGTAAAACGGCAGTGAAGACATTAAAAAGAAATTGAAAAAATAACCACCAGTTACCTGGTAACAAATTTCAAGTACTGCGCTGTCATATTGCTCGTAAATACTGCATGAAGTTATTGCCGTTCGATTAAAAAACACAACTTCATTAACTACATAAAGCAACATAAGGGCTTATCTAGGCTTTCTACTGAGTCCATCGTGATATAAACAAACCCACACCGCTCGGGACAGGATCATCTCGAAGAACGATCTGAATGCACTCGCGAAGTATCAATAGCATCTTGAAGACGCTCACCGTGAATTACTTTCAAATCGATAACTTTGTTCTATAAAAATGTGTCAGTTTCGTTTTTTCAAATGCGATTTGTAATTAGCTTAACATCATACAGCTCGGCGTCCGATTTGGATACCGATGTACCTTTTCATGTTTGATGCAGGGCCGTACCGAGTCATTCAGATTTTTGTCGAGGCTTTGATGTATGTTTTTCCTGGAAATGTGCCTATTATTGGATGACATGTAAGGAGAGTCCCACGTTTCAGGCATTTCGGTCATAGTCTTATTCATTTTTATTTCTATTATACCTCATTATTTTACCTTTTAATAAAATAATGCATATGCTATAAATATCAGATTATACTGGCTCATATAGTCAAACAGGAATAGTCGACGACTATATTTTCCTCTATTATGTCACTATGAAAAATGTGCCTTCCAATTTACTGTCCCATTTCATCGGTCTGATCCATCTTATTTTGAAATGTGGCTAGCGGCGGAGGATATCTTGAGTTTTGACCATTGACGCAAATTGTGTATTTTTGGTCAGGGAAAAACCTTGAACGGTGCGTTTTCTTTTATCAAAATAATATTGTTTACAAAACTAGCATCAGCCGTAGTAAAAATACTACTGTCACGTCATTCGTATATTATTTATGCGAAGATAAATGTTCATCCTTGACTGACTAATGGATGTTATTATGTAAAGTGGTAGACGACTTGTCTGGAGCCAAACATGATTAAAATAGCCACAACTTGATTAGAGTTTTCGCATTAACTGATTATAGCTCAGATGCTTTCCAATAAGACCTTTAACTAAACCCTTCACGCGGACCTTGATATTTCTTATTCAAGGGGATGTGTTTTACAACAGAAATTCTATATATTCATTGTCTCACTAGGCTTCAGTGGAATAGACATTCGAGCCATTCCGCAAGCACACCAGGCAGCGATGAGTATTATAAATACACATTAAATCGCGAATTTGGGTCAATCGAAATTGAAATTTTCTGTCAAAACCAAGACTAAAGTAAAAACCATTTGTATCATGCCAATATTAATCTAATTATTGCAATAATGCTTTTGGTCCTTCGTGCTTTTTGTTTTTTCTCTCTTCGACCGTTTTCCTTAACAATCTAGTTCCTGGGTCATAACAAACTTCTGAACTGAACCACGAGACAATCAGACGGCTCTAGGATGGTTCCTTGTAGTTCTACAAAAATAAGACCTACAATATAAAAACTTCGGGTCGGTCTGGTAACAAACTAGTGTCACACATCTTGTATAATACCTCAAGTAAGTTTGACGTAGTTATGATTCTTTCGGGTTTTATTAAGTTCTTGATGAGCTACTGGCGTTTACTTAGTTTCATAACCCACATCTGTTACTGAAACATCTAAAAATTGTCCTGTGATTTTTATGCGGATGGAACCCTACTTTTTACCGATGCTTCAGCTACTACGGTAACCTTTTTTTTAAGTAAAGATTCGTACAGATCAAAATGTCAGTGATACCTAATATATTTGGTCTGCGACTCGCAGTGGCCGATTCTAGTGGTAGATGGCGCTTTGCGCTGTCTTATTTCGATAACAATAATAATGATTATTGAAGAAAAAATACAATTTAGGAGTAAAAGAAAAAGATATAAATGCAATAAACATACACAACCCCGCATAAAACTATTTGCCAGTGCATGAGATAATAAAGATATTGCGCTTATTAGATAAAACGTCCTAATTACCATTTTATGAAAATTTGTAATTTATAGATAGGACGTTCTGTGTTTGGAAGCTCTGAATATTTGAACATGGACAATATATTCAAGTACTTATGATAGGGACACAGTGGAGTGAGGACTTGGGAGAACAGATAAATAATGCATAGAATAACTGGTATATGGTAGAAGCCAAGAATATAAAAAAATGTAGTTAGGACGTTCTTACCAAGGACGGCAGTAAATTGAGGTCTAACACTTTCAACATCATTGCCCTGCTAGCACTCTTTCACCTAGATGACATAGAATATCTATGAAAGAAAAAAAGAATTAATACATATATGCAAGGCGCTAGACGTTTTTTACATTTTAAAAACCTACATCAAAAAAACAGAAGCATAAAAGTATTACCTAACCACGCTTTATTGATTTATTAAAACATGTACGAGTATATATCTTTTAAAAATGATATCAAAGACAAATAAACATGAGTAATGAACTTTATCGATTTATATTCTATAATAAAATTGGTAACAAACGTTTTTAAATCGCAACATGACCCATTAAATGTAAATTGAAGTTTAACCTACTTTCTATGACTCTGTGAGGTTGTTCTTGTCCCTTATCATTAAGCATTTTTTTATTTCTTCTTTACATTTTTGATAACGCAGCTATTTTCTTTATTTAATCAGGCAGAAAGCTATATAATCGGATGGCGAAATACGTGAATTGCTTAACAGTAAAAAGTATGTAAGACCACCATAACAAATATACAGTTTTTTTCCTTTCTTTACTGAAAAACTAATAGAACCAAAATAATTAGATAACGCTTTGTTTAATTTTGTAGCTTATAAAACACTTTTGCAGAGTTTGTCAGTATTTAGCGAATTTAATTTTTAGTAAATGTTTTAGGAGACTTGCAAGAAACATAGTTCCATACATCGGTCACTTAACTCAAAATTAATATTGTGGTCAAAATATCTGCGTATCTTACTTAAATAGATGACTTTCATCAGAATAAAAACATTAAACTCTTACAATAATGTATTTTCATAAAAACTACTCAACGAATGTTACATGCATACCAGCGTAAAGCTAAGGATTGGTGAAAATGTTCAGAAAATAATTTTGGTGGGATTTATTCGATATCAAATAAGCTGTCAATAACCTTTATGGTGAAATAGAAAAATTAAACCGTTCAAACTGGCTTCCGTTTCATGTAAGGACACAGTGTTCCAGGTGGCATTGGAAATCCACAATTCATTAAATATTTAGGTGTTGCGATATACTCGACTTTACTTACTTTCAACTAAAAATAATAGTAGATTACATACCTTGATGAAGAGGCGCATAGCGTCGAGGAATATATTGTACGAGGACAATAATGGCCTTCTTCTCCGAGGATATACAGAGCTTTCATCACTATCAACAATATTACGATATTACCAAATTTAATTTGATCAGACTTTTAAATGTAGCATATTTGAGAATTATCTGAACGACCGGCAACACTGTCCGAATGTAATATACAAAATGTCTGAATCACAAAAAAGTGCATATATGATTGAGTCTGACATGGATACAAGATGCACCAAGCAATGTCTACGCCTGACTGTATCGCTGGTGCTCTCGATTTTGAGTATTATTATGGCTGGAGACTGGGAGCAAGGTTGACTAGTGAGGTTCAGCATGATTGCCAGATGGTCGACACTTCAGGTAGATCAGGGAAAAAATGTCATGATCAAATGGGTGGGGACTATGGACTTATCGTATGGGCCTATTTGGATGACTCGACCCACCTTCTTGTTGTACTTATCCGTAGCTTAATTTTTCCTCAGAGGGGCTAACTTGCTCCGGAGATAATCATTTACGAACTAACTAATGATAGTGCTGCGTAGGAAGTGCACAGTCAAGATTCTGGACGCCATCTTTTACTCAAATGCTTATTCACGTCATGTATACGCTTATTTGGGATAAAAAATTTTATTTGTATTGTTCAATAAAGCTCAGTATTAATTTCCATTACTTGCAAATAGATTACGAAAGTTTAATTGGTTTTCATATCGACTCAACAAGATAATTATATTTTCTGTCTGCTTTTCTCGTGTAATACCCGCATCGCTTTGCTAAAAGGAAAAATCTTGAGGAAATTCGCTCCCTCGACTTAGATAGGAGGAAAAATTCAAAATGACTACAGTCCTTTCCCAAATTCAACATACCTGACTCAAATTCGCCGAATGAGTCCCAACTGTGTGCTGAAATATTTCTGGCCGCACGGCAACATCCAGGATACACAAAAAGTTTTATGTGGCAGCAGAGGCCCAAAAATGTGCTTGTAATTGTGTGGGGAAGTATTTCCATCCAAAGCACGAACTTTTTATATGTTATTTCCAACGAAAGCTATATTAGCGGACAGCTTTAAGCCCATGGTCTACTATTTTTTGTTTGATTTGACCTGAGTGTGAAGCTTTCTTATTTATTCGGCAGGTGTGAAATGGAAATAATAATAACGTTATGAATAATGATCTTTCAGGTTTTCTGATTCTACTTCATTACGTAAAAGTTTGTTATAATAGTTGACAATAGCAATGTAATTAACTTTTGAAGTTAAGAATGAGAGACATAATTCGTAAGTGTAGGCGGGCTCTGACTGTAGAACGTGGAAGTGCCACCAGGCGGATCTCTAAGGCGGGGTCGGAATATGTGCATGCAGATACACACACTCTCTAGATTCCATGTCGCGTCCCCCTCTTTCCCGTGCATCTCCCTGTAGCCCCTCGATACCAATGGTGTTTAGGCCGAGGGCCTTCTTGGAGGTTCAAGTATAAAAAACGAGTTGCGATATGCCTCAGTTGTGGCCGAGTCAGCTAATATTTGTAATTTTTTGAAAACACAACTACCCTACCTTTTATTTTAGTCAAATCATGTCTAGCGAACCAAAGAAACTTAATTAAATGTTAAAGTTCCTAACACAGACTACAAAACTCGTAATAAAAAAATTACAAATTTAGAGCAGGAAACTCAATGCAGTAAAATGTGAACCAATGGAGAAACAGAAGGGTACTACTTTAAAAAATATTATTTTCACACTTCAAATAAACTGTGAAACTGACCCCATTTTCAAATTTTCAGACAATTAACATTATGACACTATTTTTGCCTCACTTGGTCCTTGATTAACCTCACATATGTAAACCAATGGAATGAAGACACGCATTGGGAAATATTCGATAAATGAGAGTATATTCCAGAATGCATCAAATTACATTTTGATGTACGCCCTGAAACCGCAGCGTTACCTCCATACCATGGTCAATAACGTCTAAGCTAAGATAGTTTCTCGTATATTAAAAATAACTGGAAGAAACCGCTTACTCAACCTAGATAATCAGTCTGCGACTTTAGATTATTTTTAGATTGCAACCCAACAAGATTAATGGTTTCACCCACATTATAATTTGCAATAAGGTACCTAACAAGCACTTTGGCTCCTGTGGTTGTAATCTTTTATCTAAATAAGATTGCTTTTCATATGCGAGCTTGTATTGAATATACCTGTACATAGTATGCATCTACCTTTGGTCGGTGAACCAAGCATAACAACCATGGACAGCTTTCTCGTGGTTTGTACTGTGTTTCAAAGGTCAGCTGAAACGAGGGAGTATTATAACTGAGAGAAAATAATCATGCTTGAATCACTTTTCGGGAAAATGTATGGCTTAGCACTGATAGAAAATTCACTCCCCAAGACATTTTCAGGAGAAAAAGTGCGGAAGTCTCATCTCTAACGACAAAGTTAACTTTGCTAGGAAACCATTAGTGATACGAAAAATCTTGGAATACATTTGGTACTTTCAAACAATGTATTTCTAGCAGTCCCAACTTCAGCATACCATGCCTGAAAATAGCTGTTGCCCAGTGTAGAGCTGCGTCTCATCGTGCGTAGTAAGCTAGCGTGATCCTTGCGTTCGTGGTGATGCGTCAGTCTCAACGAGGTGTCGTGGGTTTACCTCTAACGTCATCGGGAGAAATATAAGTCCTCAACCGCTCAATCTTGATATCACACAAGTTGGATTTTTAGGCCTGGACATGCCAGTTGAGAGCAGGGCAGACCGAAATCTGCATTTGAAGCGCGTTTTCAAGATGGAATAAGAGTAAAATTCAGACATTTGAAGCTATTCTCTTTTCAAGCCTCAATTCTGTTCCCCAAATATCTACTTGCTAACCCAACAAATATTTTTATTTTATTTATTTATTAAAGATGGCCACGTAACTCTCAACCTATTTACTAACACACCACCAACATTTAAATTAAAAAAAGCACAACTATCAATCAGAAGCTCTAACTGTCCACGACCCTTGCTGGTTCACTTTTCATTCCTCACCCGAGACAAGAGCCGCGAAAGAGAGATCGAAAGTGCTGTCGTATTTTTGACCCGTGAAAACGTAGCTTTACGAATAAGTCGCTGTTGGAGTACATCATGTTTTGGAAATTTGATTGACATAAATCTGCTTGGCCATTCAGTGAATGCCCTGATTGAATTGTGTGTCAAGTTCTTTTTCTCTTAATTTAAAATTAGGCTACCCAATAATCGATGCTTTCAACGATTCATGTGGGGCGTTCTTAAGCTGTTCCCAGACGCATCCAAATTGCCTACAAAATGGTATCTTTACATTTTCGTGTATATGTCTTTTTGCCCCGTATATCTGCATTATGCTGCACCACCTTTGAATACTTTTGATCTGGTCATCCCACGTTGAAAGCAATACCCATAATAATCTTAAAATCCCCATTTTGAGAACAACCTTTAAATAAGTCATCGTTTCGCGAAAGATAGTACAGTTAAGAATAGATAATACTTTTTCGACAAAGAATCCTTTTACTTGAGGGAATACTTCCATTTGCTACAGCAGG